TGCCTGCTGATGACTGGCGACAGGAAGAAGTTGCTTGGAGTTCTAGTGAGAAGCCGTGACTAGTGGGATCCACCAGGTCGCGTCTGAGAATGTATACTCGCTGACAATGACACTGGCCGGTGCCAGTCTCACTAAAATAATGGGTTGAAAGCGGTTAGACGTTATGTGTCTAGATGGCTGGATGGTCTCCGAGCTGGCCCTAAAAACCCATAGGTTCTTGGTTAGAAACATAGCTGTGGCTTCCAATTGTTGAACAGTCGCAAACTAGAAGATTGGAACAGCTGTCCACTACTCTCTGATATCCAATCTTTCTCTGACTGATATCAATCCGTGATCAAATTTGAAACAAATCCCTGCAAACGAATTCTTAAAAACCATAGTTTCACTGATAGAATCACAAAGTAACAGTTATATTGAAATCTATCGAAACCAGAACGTGAAATTAAGTTACCAAGTTGAATGATGCATTATGGCTGAAAGAGTTAAGAAATAAATTTCTAATGGGTAGAATGTTTCGGTGGTTAGACCCACTGTGTTGCAGTTCACTTACGTGGAGAAGTTCACATGTATCTCATCAGTGCTCAATATAGCAATATGAGTGACTAATTAAACATATTGAAACATGAAACATACGAAGTGGATTTTGGGTGTGTTTAAGCCGTTTAGGAATTGGCCTAGTCTCACAAGTGGTAAGTGCTACTGATAAGATTTATTAGTAGTATATGAAGAGACGTTCATCGGAATAAACATATCAAATAGCAGGAAGATAGATTCGACATCAGAGAAAACAAAGGGTTTAGCGTCGTGGAGATATGCGGGATATGTGAAAGGAACACAGAGAAACGCAATATGCATTCCAGAAGTAGCACGACACGGAAGATCTATGCAAACGGTTCATTGAAGACAGGTGTATAATTTGGCTAGTCAAATTTCCTAGTCAACCATCTGATCTTGAATGCTGTTACCATCACATTACATCATCCTTCTGCTTTGAAATTCTCACCTGTTAACAAAATTTTCCCTGACGAATTAAACTCACTACTTTTAACTACCTTACAACATCTACAACCGACTACTTAATACGGCTTTGTTTTAGGAAGATTCCAGCCTGACTATTAGTATTTATTGCGTTATCAATTACAAACTTCCTAAACATTGATCCAAACTACAATCTATTCAGATATATTTGAGCATGTTGACTTTCCGTTAGCAAGCCAGTGTCACATACATATATATGGAACTGTGTAGCTTAGGGATAAATGGGTGTGACGTCTCACTTTTAGCCTAAAACCTTTTGTTTTGCTCATATTGATCAAATATCTACATAAATATCATCTCAGATTCGCCCCCCCTCTCCACTCACCTATTTTGCAAAAGGACTGAATGACATCTATTAAACATGTAATACAATTTATGGACATCTCCGCGATGACAAGTGTCACTCTTCAATAAATATCTCTTGTCTTGATAAGCTTGTGTGTCTGAATATTGCTCTGAGCAATGGTCTACTTCAGTGTATTACCAATTTCACCAAAAGAGAAATGAAAATACACGCCTAATTAGTTGGTATACTTTGAAATTGGTTACATCTGTTGGTAAGTAGAATATCGGACGGAAGCTGATCACATGGGAAACACATCAAAATCACTTATAAGTAAAGGAACGTATGACAATACACAACGTTGTCGGAAGTGTAATGTACTCAAACTGCATCATATCCGCTGTACTTGTATCGGAAAATATCGGTTGGTATTGGTAAATAAGTAACGTAATGGATTAAAGGATGTAATAAGTTCGGAAGTTAGACGAATTTGCATGCTTTCATTCTAGTGTATTTAGCCTATTTGTATTAAAATGCCTTTGTATTAAATACCTGAAGGATAAAGCAGGTGGCGCAAATTCAAAAAGGGAATGTCAATACTGGTGAATATTGGATGATCAACATATTGCTTGTTTATTAAATATGATCTCCATTTGTCGGGAAAAAACACTGGCGACAGTTGCCGAATCCTACTCTGGCTGACAAAATACTGGATAAGAACGATCAGAAGTACAACCGCGTTTTATGTTGACGTTAATTCATAGACTTTGTGCCTTGTAACCCCGTTGTTCTGGTTCATTGTCAGTGACGAAATAAACAATCATCGTATTGTCGATCTTTTTGCTGACATTCCCTCGTCGGTTACCGCACACAGTATTCTGAGCCACCGATTAGCCTTCCAGAATCAGCATCCTTTCCCATATGGATATGCCATATAATCGCCCCAAATGCTGTGTCACATATTTGTCAAATAATAGTTAAAGTATGTGTATGTAGTATCTCGTTAAGTTCTGCTTTTCTGAGTTTCATCTCCATTCAGATGGATGGGGACAGTTATCAGCTTGTTGTTAACAATGCATGTGCATGAATGTTTGAGATTGACCAGTGTGTGTACAAGAAGAGAATTTGGAAGAATGCATGTCGATGATGTATACTATCCTGCAACCACAAATGTGCTTATTTCCGTGGACCAGAAAATATTTAGTAAGGCAGATTGGAGCAGTGAATAGATGATCCAAAATAAGAAGTATATGTCGAGGCATATCGACCGCCGAGCCAGTCAGAACGAGCAACCAAGTGTAACACAACGGTATGCCAACTGGTCTCAACACTTGACCACATGCTCTCAGCTTAATCAGTCGAATTAGACAGCCAGAATTAGCACCTAATCTAGGCTATGGGCTAGTAACCTTATGTTAGCATTTACTGCTACAAGAACAACTTAAACGGGATGTTTGGAAATGAAGTCATGGTGCCCAATGCTAAAATCACACGAGTGCAATAATTCCAAATTTTCAAAATGCTACATTCCTGAATGAATCAGATGAAGATTAGTATATATTGTGCATTTTGTGAGGCACAACCCAACACAATCATCGTGACCACATTGACGAACAGCATCTCCTTTTGATGAGCTAAATGGTCAAATTTATGCGTTCTTGGAATTTCTGATAATTATGTGCGAACAACACAAGACGAAAAAGTTCGACAACCTATACGACTCCTTAGACATCCAAAACGTTATGTGACCGAAATGAGTTCATACATCAAGGACACTGCACAATCATTTCTGGTGAAAAGCATCACGGGTAGTGTCACCACTTTGACTACCAACCAAGTTTACATTGAATTGCTCCTGATGACGTTTCGAGCACAATTTATTGCTCATAATCGTATCAAGGCACTCACACGACTTCCTAACTTCATTCATATAGTTCCATTATTTTTCACTTGATTTTCACTTGATTTGATTGGCAGTGGAGATATGTGGATGACACTTTCACAGTGTTAAAAACAGAACACATCTCTAGCTTCTTGACACACATAAACTCACTAGTGGAGGGAATAAAATTCCCATCTGAATCGGAAAGTGAACAAGGAGAATTAGCTGTGATGTTAGATTGTAAAATAAAACGAATAGAAGAAGGTAAACTACACACTAGTGTGTACAGAAAACCAACTCATTCTAATAGATACTTAGACTTTAATTCATCTCATCCGTTAACAGTTAAGGCAGGCTTAGTTAATTGTCTAACAAACCGAGCAGTAGCACTAAGTAGCACAAGAGAAGACCTAAATGATGAACTAAAACAGTTAGAAGAGGCTTTGGTGTTAAATAACAATCCTTTAAAATTAATTAAGAATATCAAAAAAGGCCAAACGAAAAATAAAAATAATTGCGAAACTAGTAATAACAACATAAATAAGAGAGAATATAAGTCATCTACAGTTATACCATATAAAGAGGGGACATCTTAAACCCTACGTGGGATTCTAAATAAAGCAGGAATTAGGGTGGCATTTAAACCTACAGACTCACTCAGGGACAAGCTGTGTAGGTTAAAGGACCCAGTTGACTCAATTAGACAAAATAATACAATTTACAAAATAACCTGCAATGACTGTGAGATCAACTATATAGGTCAAACTAGTAGGTCAGGGGTAATCAGATTTCGGAACATAAGAATTTAGCCAAGGTAAGAATGGTTGACCCTGAAAGGATAAGTAATTTAGAGAAAAGCTCAGCAATTGCAATGCACGCATTAACACGCAACCACACAATAGGATGGGAGACAGTTGAAATTCTAAAAAGTAATCTGGGTTGGTGGAGAGAAAGAGGTTGATTACTTAATCCTTGTTCATCGAGTCTACATCCAACACATGCGATAGGAATGACTCATCACTCATACACGAAATATGGAAAATACTACTGTCAATCAAGTGAAAATCAAGTCAAAATAATGGAACTATATAAATGAAGTTAGGAAGTCATGTGAGTACCTTGATATGATTATGAGCAATAAATTGTGCTCGAAACGTGGTCATCAGTAAACATTACTGTATAACACTGTGAGACTTTATCAAAACAAAATTTACCCATAATGGAATTATACTCTACCACAGTGCACAAGTTTATACTTATATCAATGTTTCATTGAATTAGATTATTTTCGCTGATACAACGAATACTGTGTGGCTAGCAGTTGTATAGGGTTTGTGTGAATGCGTTCTGGTTCTGCAGCAGTTCAGACGAATCTTCTGGCATAGTGATGTGTGATGGTAGCTTGCTATATGGAGATGAATTAGCTGTCATACATTTGAATTTCACAAATATGCATGTTTATGTGTTTTCATTTTCAGTTGAGAATTAATAACAGTACTTATAGCTTGGTCCTCTGCTAGCTATCTGAACCTGTAACTACACCTGTCTATGCCTGGAACTAACGCAAGTCTATAAATTCTGCGTTAAGAAGTGAATACATGCCTAGCTGGGTAAATGTCTTTTCTTTGTTTAGAAAGCTCAACAGAAATGGGGCTGGGTGGCTGTACGCGGGTGTAGCCATGTGGCATAGGCGTTCGCCTGTGTCAAGATTGCCACCCTAAATTAATAGTGGTGTAACAACAGAAGACAAGGGCCAGGCAACAGATCCTTTTATTATGAAAATCAACACGTATTTATGCATCTTTCAACTACATTATTATAGACAAGCGCAGTCATCTGATTGGTTGTTTAGGTAGACAAACACAGGCTTCTGATTGGTTGTTTCGGGATTCCTTGACAAATAGAGTTCTCTATCTGCGAATCATATTTTGCCACGTTAACTTTGCTGTGATTGGTTGTTGACTCAGGCTTGTTCATATTTTCTCACGGCCCATATTAGTGACCTAGACCTTAACGTAGATTAGTGCCAACCAATCGGCTAGCAGCCTGCTCTCACCACACTCGTCCCCCCGTCAAATACGTGCGACTGAAGTCGGCTTGATCTACTTGGTGCAGGCGTCATCGTTGGCTTGTCTCGCTGTATCCATTTCTGGAGCTCGTTGACGTTCACGCGCCTCTCATTGTTCGCCATTGCGACTGTGTCTGCGTAACCCCATCTCGAAGTGACCATATATGGTCCTTCCCACTTTGGAAACTGTTTGCCTGACCCTGTCGAACATTCGTCCATACTTCGGCCCACACCTTCATATGCTGCTTTCGCCCGACCTCCCAGCAGCGTCTCAAGTAGCAGCTCCATCGCTGACAGATCTTGAACGCCACTCAACTGCGCAGAAGCCTTGAAGTCCTGCCCGAAGATCCATATGTCTCCATCAAAAACTGCAGGGTATAGGCTTTTCATTTGTCGGTAGGCAGCGACACCAAATGTAACAACAGAAGACAAGGGCCAGGCAACAGATCCTTTTATTATGAAAATCAACACGTATTTATGCATCTTTCAACTACATTATTATAGACAAGCGCAGTCATCTGATTGGTTGTTTAGGTAGACAAACACAGGCTTCTGATTGGTTGTTTCGGGATTCCTTGACAAATAGAGTTCTCTATTGCGAATCATATTTTGCCACGTTAACTTTGCTGTGATTGGTTGTTGACTCAGGCTTGTTCATATTTTCTCACGGCCCATATTAGTGACCTAGACCTTAACGTAGATTAGTGCCAACCAATCGGCTAGCAGCCTGCTCTCACCACAGTGGTGCCACCCTGTAGCAGCATTGCTTGCAACGGGTTCGGCATCATGCACACTGTCGACCGTTTTCTAAGCTGTAGTCCTGATTAAGTTAAGAGCATACAGTATCTTAGGTACTATTTGGCTACGGTACTTTCGATCAGACAACCATCATCATCACTATTCATTCTTCCTCCTGATGTGCAATGCATTAAATCAACATGTAATTGAAAATTTCTAAAAGTTAGGAATGAATCCATGCATTCTGTGACCACAGGAGGATAACTATATTCGGATTAACTTGTCATCATTTAAAACAGTCAGATTTGCTCTTTGAAGCATTCAGACTGATAAAAGAAGGCATATATGAAGTACTCATGATGCTTGTGAGTGATGAATTTAGATGAATGCTTTAATTTTATTCGCGGGATGCTCATACTACTGATGGTTAAGCAGTAGTGTGAAAATAGCTAAGGAATTAGGTGATATTCATAAGACCAACTAACCGTACTGCTATTCAGCAACATTGCTTTACCCTTCGTGTGTGTATGTCTGTATGTGGAGACGCTTCTATGTGGATTTCTATGTAAGAATTATGCTTGAATTGGATGTGATCAAACAGGAGTATTTTTCGGCTACAGAACAGGTTCTAATATTCATAAAGGATATGTGCTGGCGGATCAAGTGAATAAATTTAACATCATCTGTACAATTTACTTAAACTGGTCAACATCAGGTGACAGAGACTCTCCGTCCACATGGAATCCAAGAAGTGAAGATGTTTTGAAGATTTGTTGACAATTCCTATAACTTAATGAAGGCCCATATTTAAAAATACGTTAAGGGAACTCGTCAACCCTGACGCTCCAATGTATAACAAAATGATGTGTAGAAAATGCTCAATGAAGTGACAAAATCCTACTGACAAAACCTGAGATACAGGAAGAAGATATGAATTCCATTCAACAGTAATGTCAATTAATGTTTCTAAACGTTTCAAAGATGACGTGCGTATCACCAGAAGTATTTCCAACAGACTGTAGACTTTTATCAACAGTGTTTTTCGCTCCATAGTCAAGATCGAATAGCCTGTCAGTAAATAAATAAGTAACAAGGTAATCTGTAAGACAGTGAACTAACCGAGGACCTATCACCCAACAATTATGTAAGCGAAAGCGGAGACAGGTTCGACATATACTGAGAAGACACTCAAGTTACACCATACACACCAGGTCGTCGAGTGGAATTCAAATGTGAAGCGATAAGTGGGATAGTCGTAGAGTTATGTGAAAATGATAACAGAGAACCGAGTGTAATAAAGAGGTTCTCAAAGGCTGTATGTTTCACTCAGAATTCAAGAAACTAGAAATGATAACAACACCTTACAAAGGATATTAAATTCAAAGTGGACACGTACATAATCCTAGGAATTGTTTCTAACTGTTTCCTGTCAGAATATTGCGTATTACAATGTGGTTATATCATAAGTATGCTCAATAAAATCAGATATTAACAACCAAGCATTGGTTTCAGAGTTCACTAAATTCCAAACCATTGGCGAAATAGTGGATGGACTGATCTCATAGGGTGTAAGCTTTTAGCTTGATCCATGATGGCACAGCTGAAGAGAATCATAGTAGTACGCAGCGTCGCTCCCGTGCCTCCTAATTTACAATAACTCTACACAGAAACTGACTGAAATTCCCACTGAACCGAATATCTATAACTATGAATTGTTTAAGTTTACATTACTTCATAAGTAGCCATTTCCTAACTGTAAACAGTGGGTAAATCTCTGCCGCACTCCCCCTAAGATGCAGCTATACTTGAAGTATACATTCGATTTTTACAAGTTTGACGACGGATTGATATCAGTTAGAGAACCATTGAAGAACAGCACTGGAGTACTGGGCAGCTGTTTCATCGTCATCGAACTCAGAACCTTCGGGTTACAAGGCTATCTCTTATACCACTCAGCCATTGGGACCCGACTCACTGGTCAACCCATGAATTCTAACTTCTACCAATTCGTGATTTAGCGTGACCACCATTTGAATTTATACTTCTCGCCAACCACACATTTGGTTCGGGGTTCCATCCAAGGCCGACTCACCTCTTTACCTCGTCAAGCCGGTAATAAGACTGGTAAAGGGGGAGGTTGAACATGAGGCTAGCAACCCATCCCGTAATAATAAACACCACTGCTCCCGAAACTCCTAGCCTCTAGCTTGAAGTCTTATTTTTCCACTGGGAACTAATATCAACAGTTTCACTTGTGTGGTTTTCGCAGAATTTTAATTGTGTAGTCGATAGTAAAATTTAAAAAAAAGAGAAACAATTAAGGTTAAAAGGAAATTTCGTTACGCTTCAGTAATAAAAATGTTACAACAATTTTTTTCGCTATCCCCACTACTCATCACATCAATAAAATTTTGAGTTTTTTTTATCATCACTATTAACCCAGCCCCTTTTTTTGCATTCCCGGCCCCCCGCGGTCTCCGTCCCCGTCGACCCTCACCTCTCTCCGTCTCTCTCTCTCTCTATTTCTCTCTGTCTCTCGCCTTCACTTTGAAGCGAAGTGAACACGTGTGCAGTAAACAGTTTAAAGGTAAGTGGAGAGTGGAGCTATTTAATATTATTACTGCTACACCACCACCAATAATAATAATAGTAATAATAATAGGATTAGCAATATTCAATAAATTCTAATACAGAATAAATAGGTAAAATAAAAATTGTTGGATGGATGGTATTTTCTTTCAATAGTCAATATTCTTCTCTCTGTCTACTGTGTGTTTGTTTGTTGGTTGGTTGGTGGGTTGGTTTTTTATTCTTTTTGTACAATTCCGTTCAACTTCATCGAGTACAATTACACACACACACACACACACAATAAAAGTCTACCTACTATTTAGGTATAAGTGTGTTCTAACAACAGGTTCATTCTATGAATAGACAGTCTATTGAAGTATATCACCTACTCTGAATAGGCAAAAAGAATGAGGATTCTACTCTTCCAACAGGAAATAAAAGGGTAAAAACTTGTGGAAGATTAGGATGATACACCTCCACTCCCCACCACTACCTCCCACTCTATCTTAGACATGCATGCACACATACATACAGATAAATTCACTTAACAATATTAACAAGAGGGTATAATGTCACCAATGAACAAAAAAATAAAGAAGGAACATAACGCACTCATGACTACTAGTCAATAGCGTTACGCATGAAAGACGATTGCAAAAAGTCAATTTTTCATTTATGCTACTAATTCTTACTGGTATAATAATAATAATTATTATTATTACTGATAATACTACTGATAAAGATTAATAGTAATGATGATGATAATAAAATTGTCCCATTGCCTATGTCCCCTTGAGATGTTCTGCTTCAGATAACTTTCTCAGCAAAAAAATATGAATACTCCTAAACGGTAATGTCTATAAATAAAGAAATTACCATTACTACTCTAGTGGAACCAAATATAATAAAGGTTGACATTTCTTTTTCTAATTTTCTCAGGGAAGATACATTTGAATAATAATAATAATAATAGTAATAATAATAATGCGTGATAATAACTGCTGAACACCGGATAAATTAAAACACAATATTTTTATATAAAACTGTCAGTTAAATACCTTATTAAATGTTACTAGTTGTGTTCTCTGAGCTGGTCTTCGTCCACCCCATCTAGACAACATCTTCAGCGCAGGTTTTAGCATAAAATCAATTGACCGCCTATATCAGGATTAACAGCTGAAGCCGTCATCCAAAGATTACAATTAATAGTCCACCCTACCCACAATTAAACCTCAAATCTGGGTATGTTATATTGATGATACATTTGTAATAAATAATTAAGAGAAATGATTTGGAATATACCCACACATTAATAAACAACATACTTGATGACATCAAATTCACCACGAGAGAAGAAGAATTAGATAACAAAATCCCATTCTTAGTTGTCTTAATCAAGAGAGCTAACACAGGAAATTTAGAAACACAAGTAGATGGAAAATCAACGTACACAGATCAAATATTCAACTATTGTAGCAATAACCCGACCTAATTACTCACAACAGAAACTGTGTGCAAACATTGTTTAAAAGAGTTCAAACAAACTGTAGCACTCACTACTCCTGTGTTGAAGAGGATGGATGAGAAGTACCTACTAATTGTCCTCGAAAAGAGTGAATATTCTCACTGTTTCATCAAATAGTCCAAAGTTCGAATTCGAAGTCAGTAAAAATGATCAACAACAACCTGTCACGACAGTGGTTGACAGGAGATACCATAATGTCATTCATAGAAAATTCAAATAAGTTCATTCCATACTAAAACCTACACTGAAGATGCTGTCCAGAAGGATGACGAAAGCTCAGCAATTAAGCCAGCTCAGAAAACACAACTAACTGCAAATCATTCACCTGAACTACAAATCTTCTCCATTACCTTATTAAACGCCTTTTTTCATTTCTGTAATATTTCTCGAGAAGAAATATTCATATTTCACGGTGTGGAATATGTTATCTGGATGACAGTAGAATCCAGGATGTTTCTTTAAGTTCTCAGTGGAGCATAGGGCTTCAAGCTAGAGGCTTGAAGTTTCGGTAGCAGTGGTGTTTATTTTTACGGAATAGGATTGCTAGCCTCATGCCCACTTCCCTCTTGACCAGTCTTATTACTGGCTTAGCGACGTAAAGGAGTGCATTGGCCGGGGATCAAACCCTGGACTACATAT